GCTGTGAGCTGTGATGCCATAGCACTCTACCCAGGGGGACAGCTTGAGGCTGTGTCTCAAAAGAAAAATGAAGAAAAAAACGCAAAAAGAGAACACATGTAGAAGGTGGTGGCTGCTTTCTAGATGTTAATACTGGGGTCCATGCTTTACATAACCACCACCTTATAGTTGTAGAAAGCCCTAGATGTGATGATAGTGTAATCATTTTGAATTATATGCATTATTATATCAAAGAGTTAGATATCTTGCATGAATGCTCTCTTCTATGTTTAGATATTCTATGCCACTCTTGCTGTGAAATTGAAGTGCATGTAGAAAAAACCTTTTACTATATAAAACTTTACAACACTTGTGAAAACAATTCAATTTGGTTTATGCCCAGTGTAATATTTCTCCAGGTATCCTCCAAAATTCCCCACAGACAAGGCTTTCATCCTCATTGGGTGTTGGCCTCTGCCTAACCATCTGGGGCTATTCTTTTAAATTGCTGCCAGAATTTTACATCCAGTTACCTCCACTTTCTAGAACTTATTCTTTACTAACGTTACTGGGACAATTTCTACTTCATACAGTTGTTTTTTGCAACAGCAGTTATTAAAGTTTTTCTTCCACAAGTTGAGTCCTCTTAAAATGATGCTAGTTACTTATTTTGCATATTACCATTTAAAAATTATTCCAGTTACTTATTTTGCGTATTACTATTTAAAAATTGTCAGCTCGGTGCCTGTGGCTCAATTGGCTAAGGCACCAGCCACATACACCTAAGGTGGCAGGTTTGAATCCAGCCCAGGCCCACCAAACAACAGTGATGGCTGCAACCAAAAAAAAATAGCCAGCCGTTGTAGCAGGTGCCTGTGGTCCCAGCTACTTGGGAGGCGGAGGCAGGAGACTCAGTTGAGCCCAGGAGTTGGAGGTTGCTGTGAGCTGTGATGCCACAGCACTCTACCCAGGGGAGCAGCTTGAGGCTCTGTCTCAAAAAAAAAAAATTGACTGTGCACTTATATTCCTATAATTGATTTCTTCCCTTACCATGGTGTCTCCCCCAAGCCCTCCAAATAAAGCAATACACTGTCAACACTGTAGGTTTATATACAAATCTTATACCCCAGGTGAGGAAAAGGGGAGATAGTCCCTGGGCTTAATTTTCTTTTAAGAGCATGGGAATTTGGCCTCCTTTTTATTGGTATGGATTCTTTTGGGTGACAGTCACAAAAATAAAATTCTCTGGTGCTGATCAGCAAGGAAGACCCATAGAGAATTATAGGTGGAGATTAGGGTGTATTGGGTGAACTGTGGAAATCATATATAATTCTGTACTTGTCAGGAAATGAGATTAGCCCTTACTTGCTAAGTAGTAAATCAAGGGGTTTTTATTACTAAGATGATTACCAAGAAAGTTTAGCATAAAGTTTATACTAGATTCAGTAAGTCAGGTCAGTTTGGATCATTTTACTTTAGCAGCCATTTCCACTAACAATATACTGTAAACTTTGGTTCAAAGCAAAATCAATGTCTGTTTCATCTTGTGACTTCAAGTTCTATGACTTTGTGATGCATGTGAGTGCTCTGACTTCCTGTGTTCTCTGTTACCATGGAATTCACAGGATCAAATGCGCAACTGCCTAGAATGAGAATCATCCAGGTTATTCAGATAAACACCATGAAGCAGAATATATGAATGAGTGAATAAATAATAAAACATGCTAGATTCTAAAATATTCAGTGGGAAATGACTAAAATAGAGGCTTTCAAGAGTCGGCATCTTTTAACTATATTTGCAAATACTGTGGGATGTAAGCAACTAAGCGAACAGCAAAGTTGACTAAATTTTATATTTCTTCTCACTATATTTTGATAGTTACTGGATTGATACAGTGATGTTTTGTTCCTTCCGTATTTGTAAAGGAAACACCATTTTTTAGTGTTTCTAAACATAAAATCTACTTGGTTTGAAATCAAGTGGTATGGAACACTTTAGATTTATTTTAAGCATGTTGATCGAAAGTTTCACTGAGGAAGTTTTCAGTCAGTGTGATCAGTTTGATTCTAATGAGCATAGCACCTAATGTTTTTGGGTGTTCTGTTTTGAGGACCAATGCTCAAAGTGATTTTGTTCTTGAACAGTATCCCAGTAGATCTGATTGTTGACTTGAGATCTGATTTTTTTCTCCTAATAGATTTTAGGAATTCTAATTGAAAACCTGCAGATTTGTGTGGAACAAAGCCTAGAAAAGAGAAAACTAGATTGAATAGTAATCTAAATTAATCTTAGTATGATAGAGGAGGGAAAGTTTTCGTGCCATAATTTTTCCCTTCATTGGTGTTGGACTTAAATCAGTTGAAATATATTCCTGTACCACAATTTAAGCTTCAATAAAAGTTTAATTGTCTAGTGACATTAAAAAAAAAGAGAGAGAATCACTTAAGCCCAAGAGTTTGAAGTTGCTGTGAGCTGTGACAGCACAATGCTCTACCCAGGGTGACAGACTGAGACTATCTCTAAAACAAAGAAAAAGAACAAATGATCCCCACTGTGGGCAAGAGACTTGAACAGAAGCTTCTCTGAAGAAGAAAGGCACATGGCCTACGAACACATGAAAAGATGCTCATCTTTAATCATCAGGGAAATACAAATTAAAACCACTTTGAGATATTATCTAACCCCAGTAAGATTAGCCCACATAATAAAATTCCAAAACTACAGAAGTTGGCATGATGTGGAGAGAAGGGGACACTTCACTGCTACTGGGAATGCAAGCTAATACGTCCCTTTTGGAAAGAAGTTTGGAGAACACATAGGGAACTAAAAGTAGACCTGCCATTTGATCCTACAATTCCACTACTAGGTATATATCCAGAAGACCAAAAATCATTTTACAACAATGATATTTGCACCAGAATGTTTATTGCAGCCCAATTTATAATTGCCAAGTCATAGAAGCAGCCCAGGTACCCATCGACCCATGAATGGGGTTAACAAATTGTGGTATATGTATACCATGGAATATTACATAGCCATAAAAAAGAGACTTTACATCTTTTGGGTTTACATGGATAGAGCTGGAACATACTCTTCTTAGTAAAGTATCTCAAGAATGGAAGAAAAAGTATCCAGTGTACTCAGTACTATTATGAAACCAAAATATAATCACCCACACTTTCATATGAATAATAAAACAGGGGCAGTGCCTGTGGCTCAGTGGGTAGGGCACTGGCCTCCACTGGCCTCATACTGAGGGTGGTGGGTTCAAACCTGGCCACAGCCAAACTGCAACAAAAGAATAGCCGGGCGTTGTGGCAGGCGCCTGTAGTCCCAGCTACTCAGGAGGCTGAGGCAAAAGAATTGCCTAAGCCCAGGAGTTGGAGGTTGCTGTGAGCTG